ACAAGATGGTTTATTAGGTGATTGTTTTACTTAGTTGTTAAGCCACATTGGCCCTTTATTTGATCTTTCACTGCGTTTTTTAATTTGGAGTATAAATTTAAGTTGAGCCTTTATGATGGTGTCATTGTAAAGTTTCCATGCAGCTTTTGGGAATTTTACTTTTGCTCTGTACCTTTTAATTAATGTTTAACGAATCTCATTATTTCTGTGTCATTCCCCTTAAAGAAATTAAATGCCACAGTGTTGGGCTGCTGTGGTTTGTTGCCCATCAAAGGGATGTGACATTTAATTACATTATGGTCACTATTTCCAGGCAGCCCATATGTAATCACCCCTTGCACCAGATATTGATCTCCGTTTAGGAGTAAATCAAGAATTCTCGACACTCTTGTGGGTCCCAGAACCAGATGCTCCTAGAAGCAGTCATTTAAGGTTTTAAGAAACTTTATCTCAACATCCCATCCTGAGGTGATGTGTACCTACTCGATATGGGCACAGTTGAAAGCCACCATATTATTATGGTATGCCCATTCATTATCCTAATTCCACAAAGATTCTGGGATGCCTGTTATAGGAATATCCCCATTCAATAGGGGGCACTCTAGTTCTCCCATCTTATTACTTAGATTTCTAGCGTTTATATATAAGCACTTGGAAAACTTGTCACTATTTAGCTGTCCGCCATGACGTAATGGGATTGAGTCGGACTTTTTTACTCATTTGTTTCTCCTCTGTTCTTACCTATATCTTATCTTCCATCCTCTCCTCTAACCTCTCGACATACTTTTTCAAAGTGAATCTAATGTTTGTCATCAGAACCCATAATCCCAATAAAGGTTATTACTCCTATAACAATACAAGTCTTTGGCCATATCAATCTTAATGAGTGGTTGTGAAGTGCATAAAATGCTTCGATCTAAGGAAGCATAAGGCAATCATCATGAATGTTGCAATTACACTAGTTTGCCACAGTGGTCAATGGAGGCACGTTAAGGTGAAGGTCAGACAGGGAGTGGCTGGCGAATGAAAACAAATAGTAACAATTGGGAATACTCATGGCAACTAATAACCTGGGTCTCTTGACCCCGTCATGTATCTCCCCCGTGCCCTCACCCGCCCTGAGCTTATGAGGGAGCGAGTCCTCACATTGACAGCACGGAGGCCCCGGTCCCTACCTTTAATCTGGGCTTGTAAAGTGAAGGGGGTTAGGTATCGGCCCACACCGGTGAGCTCCTGAGAGGCCAACCTACCACCCTGCAAGCTGTATAACTCCCCCCGGTTGGTCAATAGTCACCAGTCGCTTGGGCGGGGGAGGTCTTGCCGCCCGTTGCGGGGTTACTCACGGCCCCTCATGGGGATTGTTGTGAATGTCGCCAAGGGATGTCATCACCGGCAACCCCGGCAGCGAGTTCTCCGGGGGCCTGTGGTCCGGGCTCCCCAGTCCTTTCCTCCACCAGCCGCTCTGCTCTCCGCTCGTCCGCGGTGTCTCCTTCCCCGGGCTCCCTTCTTCTCGGCCTCGCCGGCCGCTTCTGCCCTTCCAGCATCCCCGGCCACTTCGCCGGCACCGCGTCTCCGACCGACTCCGTTCCTCCGGCTGCTCCCGCTGCCCCAGCGTCTCCGTCCGTTTCCGCTCCCCTCCAGCTGATCCGCCTTACGTTTAAACGTGGCGCGCGGATCTCGGGGCATGCGCCACACTGCCGGGGGGGCGCCGGCTTCCCTTCCGATCCCTAGGGTCTCGGGGCCATCCGCGGAAGGGCACAGGGACGGGTGCACCCTGTCACAACCCCCCCATTAGACACTTACCCTCCGCCACTTCCAAATATTTCCCTGGGCGAGAGAATTGACCTGCTCTGTGTCGCACTTGATAAATCTGAAAGAATTCTGTTCTATTGGGTCACCACGACCCGCCAGAGAGAGCCGTGTTTCCAGGAACAGAGAAAGTCGCACATTCTGAGCAGTGGGTGATTTCATCATAATGGGTAACATGCTTTAAAGCAAGGTTTGGTGTTCGGGTGTTTTGCTGTGATTTACCTCGCTACCACACATATAGAAATGGTGGACATAGGATAGATGGTAGTCCCTTTGGAGAAGTATAGTCTTCATGTATCAAGAAGACAGTTCAAGTGGGTTGAACATTAGCAACTTTCAATCTTGGATGCCTAGATCCCAGGATGCTCACTTTTGTAACAAGATCTGTTAATCCCCTTGCCATCTATAAGGGAGTAACAATGATGAACTTTGCATTGAGTCTGTGGTAAGATGTCAGAAATATGAAGTTGTGTTTCTGTTTCTGCATCTCACACCAAAGTGACTTTCGCCTCATTCTGCTTCTTTTCTCAACCCCTATAAAACAGGGATATTAAGGTGTTAATGCTGGAAATTATAGAGCCTTCTTCAAAATGAAGAATTCAAAGAACCTCAAAACACTCATTGGTGCTTCATACAGACAAAGGGGCAGAGTCTTAAAAAGTGTTAAATTATTTTGGCATTAGACGCCTCTGCAATGAGCAATAGAGTCACTTTAAAAAAATGGAGGCCAAAGTCTCTTCTGGCACCTCTTTAATTGGGTCGTGACAGAGAGTCATGGAATATGGGCTATTTTATTTTCATTCAAATGTATTTTTTCATTGCTGTTTAAAGTATATTCCGATAGAAAAATAAGGTTCCCTATTGAAGGAAATCAGCACAGTTGCTTCAGGGACACAAAATAAAATGAAGTCAATTTGACCTTCTTCTCTGGATATAGGAGGCACTCCTAGGGATGCATTGTACAATGAAAACATCATTCATTTGCTTGCAGGGATGTTTTCTGCCACATGTGCACTCTCGACCCATAGACATCTCCTTCACCAAGAGCCCCTGATTTCCATCTCCTCTGGGTTTCTTCAAGGGCTCAGACAGCGGCATTCTCTTACAACAAGACCTCGCTTTTCTGTCAGCTCAATCGAAGAGAGAATGTTTGGACGGAGTCCAAGTTACATGGCTTCACTCAAACACCTTCTATCAAAGAGTCCTGCTTCCTGTCCCAGGCCTCCATCCCTTCCCTTGACCTATGAGGAAATCATCTTAAAGCAGCCCTTTGAGACAGCGTTGGTGACACAAGGGGAGGTCTGGTCATAGGTCAGGCTTTCGGCACTGTTGGGTGAATTCATTTTTGGGAGAGTGTTAGCTACGAGGCTTACATTGAATTTGAGTTTCTGCTACGGGAGGGAGAAGGAAGGCTCAATTGGGAATATAGATTTATACAAGCATTGTTCTTTCCCAATGCTAGATGGAGAGTGAGATCCAATACCTTTTGAAACCAACTGGAATAAGACCATTGCCTTTAATGTATTTTCTGTACGGACCTTAAGTCTCTGACCCCACTCTTGATAAGAATGGAGTAAAATAGCTCTCTGCATCCTAGAAAGCTGAGAATGAACTGCTCAATGGCCCTGTGTTTGACCAAGATGAAGTGAAAGGACCAAACTGGATTTCTGCTTATGAGAGCAAATTGTGCTCCTGATCCAGCTCTGAATCATCTCGACATTAGCTCTCATTGAACCACCGAGACACAGGGAATGCAAAGTGCAACGCGCATCGATGGGATTGGCCTTAACAATAATAATGCCCCACCCTGGGAAAGCAGCAGCCTCAAAAGCAGAATTTACCAAGGCAATCCAGTTTCTTTGATAATTAATTGAGACTTTGTGTAAAAAATGCATCATCAAGCTTCTCGGCAGCCCTAGAAACTGTATAAAAAGGCTCGTGGCTCAGAACTCTGCTAAACGCTTCTCTGGACTTCATCTCCTTGGTGATCTCGGTAAGTCCAATTTGACTCCATCTCTTTTTCCTCCAAGAGATGGCACAGAAGGGTCCATGCCCATTTCATGCTGAATACGGCATTGCCTCTCTGTGATTCTGATCATACATGGTGTTTCTTGTTCCATCATTCTCTTGTGTAGTAATTCAATTGCAGGTTGTGGTGGATTCTGATTTGAAGGCAAAGTGGAGATTTTAGGCGCAATCTTTGGAATTGCAAAACATGTTTCCTATTAACTAGAAATTGAATTAAGGTATTTAAATGTTTAAAGTAACTTCAAAAAATGCTTTGGTCATTGGTCACTTACCTAGCTGTGGAAAACATTTTCCCAGGTTAGTCTATACGCGACCAATTCAGCACTCTCCTCCTGCATTGTAAAAGAGCAGCTACCCCTCTCTTTTGGGAGGTTGGGAGACTTCTTAATCCTCCAGGTAGCATGAACCAATGAACAAGTTCCTATGTTCACATGAGCACAAACAGCCATGGAAGATGCGGCTCCTCAGATGGTGTAATTTTTGTTCACTCCATTGAAGTCACTGGGCCTGCGCTCATTGTAACGCAGTTCAGGATCATTTCTATGGGGAAAGAAAAAGATTCCACTCAAGTGTTGGTGAGTCCCAAGATTTGGAAAAGCAAAAATCCCCTCTATGAAATGAGACACACCTAATTTCCATTCTGAGGTTGACTCCTCTAAGGAAAGGAAAGAATTAGTAGGGAGAAGAGACAGAGAAAGAAGAAATATGAACAAATACAGACCCATGAACAAGCGGGTTAAATCCACTCCTCCTCTTTCTCTCAGGCCCCATGTAGACCTCCCCTCTAATAAGAACTGAGCGAGGAGACCATTCTTCCAGTAACGGCTTCTCTTTATTCTATCCCTGTTGTGTGTTTCAGGTTTATCTCCATCACACAAGGATGTCTTGCTATTCAGAATGCGGGGTGGCCCGACCCAGCCCAGTTTCCGGCACCTTCAACGAGCCGTGCGTGAGGCAGTGCCCTGACTCCCAAGTGCTGATCATGCCCTCGCCGATTGCTGTGACCATCCCAGGGCCCATTATGAGCACCTTCCCTCAGCACAGCGAAGTGGGAGCTGTCGGAGCCCCTGTGGTGGGATCGGGCTACGGGGGCTCGTTTGGAGCTGGAGGACTGTTCGGCTCTGGAGCTGGTTACGGGGGATTGTTTGGCTTGGGAGGATCAGGTGGTTATGGGGGACTCTGTGGTTATGGAGGTCGTTATGGTTATGGGGGAGGTTATGGCACTGGGGTATCTTGTCATAGGTACCTGAGTGCATGCGGCTCACCATGTTAGACAGGGCACGAATCTCTATGGCCAAAGGAAAGACCAGGAAATGAATAGCAACCGATCGATTACAATATCAATTTCAGAAGGGCCGTGCCAGCCTGGCTCCAGCTGAGCTCCACGCGAGCTGTATCTGCCCAGCCCCTTTCTCTCATGGACCCATTTATAATGTCTTGCTAGGAACTCTTTCTGCCAATTCTTTCCCCACCACATGCTTCTTCTCTTTTGCTCATTTGGACTCCCTCTGAATTACATTCACCGTGTTTGTACGAATCACGCAGTGGGAAGGGAACAGGGGTCTTCAGAAAGGCATCAGTTGCATATGTGTTGTGTTCTCAAAACTTGTAGCTCCAACAAAGGAAAAAGAACTTCCCACATCCAATGCGTCTGACGGAAGGGGGTGATGGTTCATAGCCAGTATTAATGTATTAATACACTAGGAATCCTTTTTTCCTGCTTTGTAATTGTGTATTGCAAATTTCATTCACATTAAAACCTCTGCTGCATCAGAATATCTGTCTTGTAGTTTTACTTGTTCTTCTTTCCTTGTTTATGAAATGGACTGGATTAAATTCATCCCTGCAGTTCAGGCAGTAGTACGCAATTTTCAGATTGCTATCTTGGAAGCTATGCCATGATGGGAGAATAAAGCCACTGAGAGGGTTCATGGTATTATACAAGCAACCTACACGGGTGTCGTATTCCTCCTTGTATTTCCTGTGTTAGCAAAGAGCCTTTTCCTGTCAAGATTTATACTTTAAATGTCTAAGTGTGTTGTTTGTTTTTTTCATTGAAAGAAATCCAATCACATGGATTGTGCTAAGCTTGTGGTTGTTTGCTTGCATCCTAGAGCCTTAGGTTTTTTAAAGGAGAAGAACATTGCTCAAGAAACTTGTCTATGTCTGCACAGCCGCATTCTTTGGGTTTTAGTTTAGTTTAATTTTCCTATAGAATGTCAAGTATCAAAGGGGTAGCCGTGTTAGTCTGAAGCTGCCAAAGCAACGAGGAATGTCAAGTGTACCTAACCTCCCTTCAATTCCCCCTCTAAACTTCCTCACGAAACTCCCTGGTAGCTGCCCCTGTTTGCAAAGCTCTCTGGTTGCTTACTCGCAGGCTTTACAAAGCCCTCACCTTCCTGAAAGCCCCGCCTCTGGCTAAGGCCTGACCAATGAACAGAGAGTCCTAGATTTCAAATCCTCCTTAAGAAGCTCACAGCTTCCAACTGCCAAGGACAACAAACGGTGCTTCGAACAAACAGCTCAGCACATGAATCTCCAAACAAACAAACAGTTACCACACACACACGCACTCACACACACACACACACACAAGCTCAGCAGATTGTTTGTGATAAGAGGTTACTTACTGCTTTCCTGAAAGAAACTCACACGCTACAGAGAGCCAAACAAACAAACAGACGCACACAAGCTCAGCACACAGTTTCCTTCAGCAACCAGCAAGTAACCCCCAAACACAAACACACACACTTCAGACAGCCACTTACCCCAAGGGTCCCATAATCATTCCTCCTTCATCTGGAGAACTCTCAAACGAAATTCCCTGTTAGTTGTCCCTGTGTACAAAGCTCTATACCTTTCTCAATACCTTTATTAGCCCTGGTTTACACCAGGGAGTTATTTCAAAGTAGGTAAGATCCCATGGGAAGCAAGACTAAGAGAAAAAACAACTGAGGAGAGTTGGCAATTTTTGCAAAGGGACATTATTATGGGCCCAAAAGCATTACAGTTTGTAGGAAAGATAGAAATATGAAAGAAGGCTGCCTTGGCTTAACCAGCAGATCGTGTATGATCTAGAAATCAGAAAGGAGTCATATAAAAAGTGTAAGCTAGGTCAAATTACCAAGGATGAATATAAGCAAACAATATAGCTATGCAGGGGCAAGATTGGAAAGGCAAAGGCAAATAACGCACTCAAACTAGATAGAGATGTAAAGGGTAACAAGAAGCCATTCTATAAATATATTAGAAGCAAGAGGAAGACCAAGAACAGGATGGGCCCATTGCTCAGTGAAGAGGGAGAAGCAATAACAGGAAACTTGGAAACGGCAGAGTTCCTTAATTACTTCTTTGTTTCGGTCTTCATCAAGAAGTCTGATGATGAAGGAATGCCTAACATAGTGGATGCTAATGCAAATGGGGTAGGTTTAGAAGATTTAAAACAAAAAACAAAAAAACAGGTTAAAAATTACTTAGAAAAATTAGATGTCTGCAAGTCGCCAGAGCCTGATGAAGTAGGAATAAGAGCCTCTGGAAAAGGGCGCTTTTTCCGGAGGATCGGGGCCAGTGTAGACGCTCTTTTCCGGCTTTTTTAAAAGCCGGAAAAAAGCGGCGGACATTTTTATTTAAATGCCGCGGGGGATATTTAAATCCCCCGCGCATTTCCCTACTACGACTCATGAAATTTACATGCCCCTTCCGGAAAAGGGGCCAGTGTAGACGTAGCCAAGGAGCTGACAGAGGAGGTATCTGAGCCTTTGAAAATGAGAGACAGGAAAAAGGCAAATCTAGTGCCCATCTATAGAAAGGGAAATAAGAACAACCCAGGAAACTACAGACCAGTCAGTTTAACTTCTGTGCCAGGAAAGATAATGGAGTAAGTAATTAAGGAATTCATCTGCAAATATCTGGAAGAAAATAAGGTGATCGGTAACAGCCAGCATAGATTTATAAAAAACCAACCATGTCAAACCACTTTGATAACTTTCTTTGACAGGTTAACAAGTTTTGTGTATAAGGGAGAAGTGGAGGACGTGGTATACCTAGATTTTAGTAAGACATTTGATATGGTCTCATGTGATCTTCTTATGAATAAACTTGGAAAATACTACTTAGATGGGGCTACTATAAGGTGGGTGCATAACTAGCTGGATAATTGTTCTCAAAGAGTAGTTATTAAAGGTTCACAGTCATGCTGGAAGGGCATTACAAGTGAGGTTCCTCAGGGGTCTGTTCAGTATCTTCATCAACAATTTAGATGATGGCATAGAAAGTACAATTATTAAGTTTGCAGATGATAGCAAGCTGGGAGGGGTTGCAAATGCTTTGGAGGATAGGATCAAAATTCAAATTATCTGGACAAACTAGAGAAATGTTCTGAGGTAAATAAGATGACGTTTATTAAGGACAAATGCAAAGTGCTCTACTTAAGAAGGAACAGTCTTTTTCACACACACTGAATGGGAAGCGACTGTCTAGGAAGGAGTACGGCAGAAAAGAATCTAGGTGTCCTAGTGGACCACACGTTAAATATGAGTCAACAGTGCGATGCTGTTGCAACAAAAGCAAACATGGTTCTGGGCTGCATTAACAGGAGTGTTGTGAGCACGACACGAGGAGTCATTCTTCCGCTCTACTCTTTGTTCATTAAGCCTCAGCTGGAGTATTGTGTCCAGTTCTGGGCACCACATTTCAAGAATGATGAGAAGACATTGGAAAGGATCCAGAGAAGAGCAATAAAAATGATGAAAGGTCTCAAAAACATGACCTCTGCGGGAAGACTAAATGAATTCAATTTGTTTGGCATGGAAAAGAAAAGACTAGATGGGCCATTCAAAGGGATAGAGTGTAGAATTAAACATGCAATTATTAATAAGGGCCAGTCTGCACAGCAGGGCATAAATCGAATAATGCTACACAACTTGACCTATTGCAATTGTGTAGCTTAATTTGAAATAGCTTAATTCGGCTTTTGGCGCTGTCTACACAGCTGGAAGTTGAAGGAAAAGCTATCTTCCTCCAGCTTCCCTTACTCTTCATGAAATGAGGATTACAGGACTTGGAGTAAGAAGTCCTCCACATCACCATTCTTTCGAAATAATGGCTTGCAGTGTAGACATGCTTTTTTTATTTCAGAATAAACTCAGCAGCTGTGTAGACGTGGGCTAAGTTTCTTCAGCAATTTTTCTTTCAAAAACCTAGAGCTCTGTGATAGAAGGACTCCCCCAGAAGCTTACCACAAGCCATGTGACTGGTCTCCTTGCAATGAAAAAAGAACCTACTTAGCAATTTAACGTTAAAATCTGTGTAAATCTTTGCAGGAAAAGGCTCTTTGCTAACGTAGGCAATACAAGGAGGAACACAACACCGGTGCAGTGGCCTGCGTAATACCACGAAGCCTCTCTGTGGTTTTATTCTCTCATCAAGGCATAGCTTCCAAAATTGCAATTTGAGAATTGCCTATGGCTGCCTGAACTGCAGGGATGAATTTAGCCCAGTCCATTTCATTAACAGGGGAGGAAGAACAAATAAAAGAACAAGACGGATATTCTAATGCAGCAGAGTTTTTAATGTGAATGAAATTTGCAATACACAATCACAGAAAACGAGAGTACACAGGAGGAAGAACGAAATCCCAGTGTTGTAATATGGGCTGCGAACCATCACCCCCTTCCCTCAGATGCATTGCATGTGAGAAGTTGCTTTTCCTTTGTTGGAGTTTCAAGGTTGGACAACACATCACATATGCAGCTGATGCCTTTCTTAAGACCCCTGTTTCCTTCATGCTAGGGGATTCATACAAACAGGGTGAACATAATTCAGAGTGAGATGACATGTGCATAAGAGAAGAAGCATGTGGCTGGAAAAGCATTGGCAGAAGGAGTTCCTAGCAAGACATTAGAAATGGGTCCATGACAGAAAGGGGCTGGGCAGATACAGCTCATGTGGAGCTCAACTAGAGCCAAGCCAGCAGGGTGCTTCTCAAATCGATATCGGAATCTATCGGTTGCTGTTCATTTCCTGGTCTTTCCATTGGCCATAGAGATTCCTGCCGTGTCTAGCATGGTGAGCCACATGCACTCAGGTACCTATGACAAGATACCCCAGTGCCACAAGATCCTCCATAACCATAACCTCCCCCATAACCATAACGACCTCCATAACCACAGAGTCCTCCGTAACCAAAATGCCCCCCATAACCACCTAGTCCTCCCAAGCCAAACAATCCCCCGTAACCAGCTCCAGAGCCGAACAGTCCTCCAGCTCCAAATGAGCCCCCGTAGCCGGATCCCACCAGGGGGGCTCCAACAGCTCCCACTTCACTGTGCTGAGGGAAGGTGCTCATAATGGGCCCTGGGATGGTCACAGCAATCGGTGAGGGTCTGATCACCACTTCGGAGTCAGGGCACTGCCTTACGCACGGCTCGTTGAAGGTGCCGGAAACTGGGCTGGGTCGGGCCACCCCACATTCTGGATAGCAAGACATCTTTGTGTGATGGAGGGAAACCTGAAAAACAACAGAAGACAGAATATCGAGAAGGTGTAGGTATTGTTAGAACACTCGTCTCTTAGCTGGGTTCCTATTGTAATGGGGTCTGTATGGGGCCTGATGGAAAGAGGAGGAGGAGTGCATTTAGATACTTAGTTCAGGGATATGTATTTGTTCCTGTTTCTTTTCTCTATTCCTCTTCTCCACTCACAGTAAAGTCCCCTTCCCAGGGGCCCCTTTGAAACTACCTCAATGACTGAAATTCAGCTAACCTGGAAACAGTGTA